CATACTGGTACTCCACCACCAACAACTTCAAATCTATTGACAGTGGTACTCCACAACCGACAACTTCAAATCTTGTCATACTGGTACTCCACCACCGACAACTTCAAATCTATTGACAGTGGTACTTCACCACCGACAACTTCAAATCTTGTCATACTGGTACTCCACCACCAACAACTTCAAATCTATTGACAGTGGTACTCCACCGCCGACAACTTCAAATCTATTCACAGTGGTACTCCACCACCGACAACTTCAAATCTTTTCACAGTGGTACTCCACCACTGACAACTTCAAATCTAATCACAGTGGTACTCCACAATCGACAACTTCAAATCTATTCACAGTGGTACTCCACCATCTGCTTCAAATCTTGTCATACTGGTACTCCACCATCGACAGTTTCAAATCTTGTCATAGTGGTACTCCACCATCTGCTTCAAATCTTGTAATACTGGTACTCCACCATCGACAGTTTCAAATCTATTCACAGTGATACTCCATCATCTGCTTCAAATCATGTCATACTGGTACTCCACCACCGACAGCTTCAAATCTATTCCAGTGATACTCCACCACCGACAGCTTCAAATCTATTCCAGTGATACTCCACCACCGACAGCTTCAAATCTATTCACAGTGGTACTCCACCACCGACAGCTTCAAATCTATTCCAGTGATACTCCACCATCGACAACTTTAAATCTATTCACAGTGGTACTCCACCACCGACAGCTTCAAATCTATTCCAGTGATACTCCACCACCGACAGCTTCAAACCTATTCCAGTGATCCTCCACCATCGACAACTTTAAATCTATTCACAGTGGTACTCCACCCCTGACAGCTTCAAATCTATTCACAGTGGTACTTCAAATCTATTCACAGTGATACTCCACCATCTGCTTCAAATCTTGTCATACTGGTACTCCACCACCGACAGCTTCAAATCTATTCACAGTGATACTCCACCATATGCTTCAAATCTTGTCATACTGGTACTCCACCATCGACAGTTTCAAATCTATTCACAGTGATACTCCATCATCTGCTTCAAATCATGTCATACTGGTACTCCACCACCGACAGCTTCAAATCTATTCACAGTGATACTCCACCATGTGCTTCAAATCTTGTCATACTGGTACTCCACCATCGACAGTTTCAAATCTTGTCATAATGGTACTCCACAACCGACAACTTCAAATCTATTCACAGTGGTACTCCACCACTGACAGCTTCAAATCTATTCACAGTGGTACTCCACAACCGACAGCTTCAAATCTATTCACAGTGGTACTCCACAACCGACAACTTCAAATCTATTCACAGTGGTACTCCACCATCTGCTTCAAATCTTGTCATATTGGTACTCCACCATCGACAGTTTCAAATCTTGTCATAATGGTACTCCACAACCGACAACTTCAAATCTATTCACAGTGGTACTCCACAACCGACAACTTCAAATCTATTCACAGTGGTATTCCACAACCGACAACTTCAAATCTTGTCATAGTGGTACTCCACAACCAACAACTTCAAATCTTGTCATAGTGGTACTCCACCACGGAAACTTCAAATCTTTTTATAGTGGTAGTCCACCATCTGCTTCAAATCTATTCACAGTGGTATTTTATGACCGACAACTTTTAATCTAGTCGCAGTTGTACTTTACCACAGAAATGTTGAATCTTTTCACAATGGTACTCCACCACTGACAGCTTCAAATCCTGTCACATTGGTACTCAACCATCGACAACTTCAAAGCTAGTCACAGTTGTATTTCACCACTGACAGCTTCAAACTTAGTCACAGTTGGCTCCACAACCGACAGTTTCAAAATTGTATTTGTGCCTTGAAAAAAGGGTGGATTGTCTCAAATATTGAGTAAAGCTTACACTTCCTTCAATATGTTTCAGTCTACTTTATGATATATCGTATTCTTTAAAAGACATTTTATGAACTTTATTACCCTTGAAGCGTATGACAAGATATATTACCTTACTTGCCTATATGTCTGCTGGTCGAAGGGAGATAACTGGCGTTATTCTGTTCGATAGGACGCGTTACTGCAATAATCTCTTTCCAACTATCCGGCATATTTTGGGTGAANGGGGGGGGGATTTTGTAATTTTTTTACCTGTACAACAATGTGACGAAATTATATAATTTTGTATGTCACTCGACATCCCCGGAACGTTTCGCCTATCGATAGGGAGCACATACACACTGCATCAGGTAGTTACATGTAGGGTGCAGATCTAGCCCCTCCCCTGTTATGTCAGTATCTGGTCATACAGATGACTCAGCTGGTGTTCCCCTCGTCTCTGTTCATATTCTGAGTTTTCCTTATTTCGATTCCTTCTTTGATATGCCTCGTCTTTGTGTATTGTTCCCTTTCAACTATCGTGGCATTGTCCCAATCGACGATGTGATTTGGGGTGTTTGCGTGATCTGTCAATGTCGATTTATTGTAATGGGTGGCGGATGTTTTGCGTGTGGATCTGGTAAATGTGATGTTGCTCATTTTCTCTACGTCCTTTTGATGTCCCTTCAGGCGTGTACCAAATTTCCTCCCAGTTTTTCCTATATATGACTGCTGACAATCTGGGCACGGAATTTGATATACAACTCATGTTTGGTCTAAAATATCAGTCTTGTCATTGGGATGCACCAGTAACTGTTTGAGTGTTGTCAGTGGTCTCATCGGGGTGCTGACATGGTGTTTCCTCTTCACTCGGGCAAACGCCTCAGATGTCCCCTTCACGAAGGGTATTGTGACCCAGCCTTTGCATTTGGTTTGGCTCTCATTTTTTTTTCTTCTGTCACGGTTTTCTATTTTCTGTCTTTGTTAATTGACAACTACGGTTGAGTGCGTCTTTTATGTACTGTTCTTCCCCGGCCGACTTGGTAAAAGGTAAGCGCGCTATCCACTGCGCCACTCGGCTACCAATAAAGTGTATTCCACTTCGATTGGGGTACATATTTACATATTCGCTAACCAAACATTTTTTTTTTTTATCTGGTTAAACAATAAAATTGATATGCTTCTCATATAAACAAAGCTAAGGAACGTGCTGGAAAACACACAGGAGATAAACAAAAATCTGGTTGTTATTAAAGATAAACATCATTGCACTGATCTATTTCGGAATAAAAAAAATACAACTAGTCATTTTTTATATTGATATAGATAAACTTAGAAACTTGTTATTTACTTTTCTGACGTCATCACATTTGTCATGACATGTTTACGTTTATTGATGTTATTAGTGTACATAGTGACATAGTGATATAGCTTCTGCATTGGATAACAAGTGCAGAGCGGTGCTTGTCATGCTGGACTTGTCAGCTGCATTTGACGTCATCGACCATGGCATACTTTATAAACGTCTGGAATACTCTTATGGAGTGACTGATACCGCACTATGCTGGATACAGTCATATTTGAGTGAACGACGACAGTGTGTTGCCATCGGATCTGCCACCTCACATGACAAAGTACTAGATTTCGGGGTTCCTCAAGGGTCGGTGTTAGGACCACGAAAATATTGTATGTACTCCAAACCGATTGGAGAGATTTGTCGTCGCCATAGCCTTCGCTATCATTGCTATGCTGATGACACACAAATTTACATGGTCATAAAACCACAGGACAGTTGGAATACAGTCTCAGAAAGTCTGGAAGCTTGTCTGACAGATATCAGTATCTGGATGAACGCCAACATGCTTAAACTTAATCAGGAAAAGACGGAACTAATCGTCTTTTCCCCAAAGTGTCAGCAAACAATGGCTCTCCAGCTCAAGGTTGGTGCCAGAACTATTGAGACTGTTCCAGCTGTTAAAAACCTAGGGGTATACTTTGACAGTTCTCTGAACATGGAGAAACAAGTGAACGCTATTGCCAAATCCTGTTACTACCAGATCAGGAACATCGGCTGTATTCGGCAGTTTCTAACTGCAGATGCATGCAAGATTTTGGTGCATTCACTTGTTACCTCTCGGTTGGATTATGGTAACGCCCTGCTCTGTGGTATATCTGACAAACTAACTAGTCGTCTGCAGAGGGTTCAGAACACTGCAGCACGGCTAGTTACTCGTACTCGAAAGAGAGAGCACATCACACCTGCGCTTTATTCGTTGCACTGGTTACCTGTACGATACAGGTCGCAGTACAAAATTCTGGTATACACATACAAGGCACTGAATGGAACAGCTCCTCAGTACCTACAGGAACTTGTTACCCTGTATCAGCCGTCAAGATCACTGCGGTCGGAGTCAGAATCTTTGTTGTGTGTCCCAAAATCTCGTACTGTGACCTACGGAAACAGATGCTTTGGGAGGGTTTCGGCTACGTTGTGGAATAGCTTACCATCTGCTATTAGGAAGTCGAATACCCTGGCCAAGTTCAAGAGGGACATAAAAACTCACCTCTTCACGTCTGCATTTTAGAATCTTTGCAAAGACGTCATGTAAATACCACCCTTTTATTTGTTCAATTATGTGCACATTGTTTGTTAAATGTATGAAAGTGATTGCAAGCCTTTGTTGTTTGTTTTCACAATTATAGCCATTACTATTATCCATATGTTGTAAAGCGCCTTAGAGTAATTTTACAAATTATATAGGGCGCTATATAAATGCTGTATATTATTATTATTATTAAATAAAATACAAAAAAAAGAGGAAAAAATTACATTCCCAACCGGGGAATCGAACCCCGGCCGCCGCGGTGAGAGCGCGGAATCCTAACCACTAGACCAGTTGGGACATATTGCTTTGACCATTTAAACATTACTATATCCTATAAAAAAAGTAGATTGAAGATGATGTCTGTAGTTTAAGTAATGAATTAATAACGATTATTCATAAAAGGAAAAACTGTTCAATAGATTTGCATAAATGAATTATTCTTTATTGAATTTGGTCTATTTATAAATTTACACTTGTTTTTCTGGGTCGCTTCCACGTTTTAATGTCAAGGATTTCCCAAGCTTTCCGATGATAAAGTGGTTTATTTTCATTATGGTCGCAGATGACAGCAGAATAATTTCAAAGTCGAAAGTGAGATCATTTCTTATCCAGGAAATGTCGAAATGGCGAATAAATGTACCAAGACATTGAATTAGCAATGTCGGGTATATTCCAGGACAATTGTCAGTGGCTTTCCGTCACGGAGGAAACGCTGTTTCTGCACGATGGACTGATCAGGGTCACCGATTTGGTCGAACTTCCTCGTGATGTAAATAGTTCCTCAGAAGGTGACAATGAAGTCGTAACGTTTGATTTGAAAACACCGAAGGAATTAAGCGATAGATTGCTAGCTGTGTGTGGCACACAAAATAATGCCTACTCCAGGTTGCTCGAGTATCGCTTGAATGCGCTGAGGGGCTATTGGAATGCACAAAGGCAGGTGTTGATCGACGAACAACAGGACAGAGACAACACCACGCATGAGGAAACAATAGCTCTGTTGAAAAAACAGGGTATTTTCAAAGATCCAGAACAAGCTTCTTTTTCCACGAGAATCAGCGTTCTTTTAGTTATTCCACTCTTACAATCACAGAGTAGAGTAGACCCAAATCTGTGTGGAGTCACAGCGGAACTGCTTTTGAACTGTCTTAGAGATTGTGCTCCTCTAACTTTGTTTAAGGAACCAGGCGATTGCTTGAGAGGTCTTGAAAATCTGCTTTGCACTTGGCTAGGAGAAGACAGCAATGATGTCAACAATAAACAGTTGGTTAAAGATACTATGCAGCGTAAAAATACGGCTGCAGCACTTGTTGCACTTGCATGTGCAAGGTATGTAAAACTAGTGTGTGGAATGTGTATATATTTACAAGTGTATTATACGTCTCTGCTATTATGGTATCGATTTAATACGATTTTAAATAATGGACGCAGGCTGTAAGCCTCTGTGTCCATATCAGTTGATATTACAATATTTACAGTATGATATACTTCTGTTGTACAATTAGCATGTCCTTCATCATATATATAAAATTAAGTTAATTATTTGTTGGTATTTTCCCAGTGATTGTCCAGTAAAATTTCAAAATGTTTGACATCCTCTGCATCTATAACATCTTGCAGCAAGTTGTTCCAGGCATCTACTACGCGGAAGCTGAAAAAGGTTTTCTAATGTCTAGTTTACAGCGCTTTTTGAATATTTTTTGTGAGTGTCCCCTTGTCCTGCTGGTGGTATCCATTTGGAACATATTTGTCATGACTCGTTCATCATAAATCTTCTTCATTATTTTGAATACGTTGTATCAGGACATAAAGCCACAACAGTTCTATTTACCACATTTACACTATGCCCCTTTGCACTGTAATCTTTTCACTTTCTAATCTACTCTTTTAAACCCAAATGCTGTTCGCACCAATCTAAGTAATAATACATTGCATATATATATATATGCATAGCAAATAACAAAAATATATTAAAAAATCACTGTACATAATAATTAACGCACTACAGCACAAGACCTACTTCCGTAATCGTTGGTATCGACGGAGGAAGTTTAAAAGATGAAGATGAACATATCTACCAAGTCACCTTTAATTTTGCTGATTAACCTGCAATAAATGAATTCTTGATAGCCTACACAGATTGTAGTATATTTTGGAATATCCTACAATTGCACTGCAGTTTATCCCAACATTGGAAATGTTTTTGAAATCACCATTTCTAAACGTAAGTGTTAAATTATAAAGCTTCTTGAAAAGACATATCATACTACTGGTATATTAAAAGGCAAATTGAATAGTTTGAATGCTGTATTGGTGGTTTTGATATCTTTGAAAAATGTACATACAAGATTCAAGAATCTTTATTTATCATCATATGGAATCATCTTAAGAATTTGTTTTACTAAATTATAAAAACAAAGAAAAATGATAAAATATTTACAGTAACATAAGATATCACAGCATATATATTTAACTAAGACAGGGGATGTTCACAACAAAAAGAAAAACTATCACATGGAAGTTGCTCAATATCACAGCATGCAAATTGACAAGAATAAAATACAAAAATATTAAGTAAAAACACATAAGCATGTATTGCACTAGAAAACCCCCCAAAAAGCAAAGAATGATGTGATATAAGGCAATTCACACCACATTTTATACAAAGATTTAAAGGCCAAGAAGAAATGTCTTAAGTGTACATGTATGCCAATATGGCAAACAAATATATGCTAATATAGCATAAATAAAAACAAGAAAATAAACATATGAAATAAGAGCATAAGTGAAGCAGAATAAACTTAAAAATACTTAGCAGTGTTCACAAAAAGTGGGAAAAAAATACTGAAAATAAACAAAAAAACAGCCATAAAGTACATAATGTAATGAGATGCAATTAGCAAGTTTGTCCTGCACTTTGACCTTATAACCATCATTTCATGGCAGATGTGAATATGTCTGGCATTGACCCTAATAGTAATAAACAAGTACAAACCTTTCTGTAGACTTCAGCATGGCAATCTTCAGAAGTTTTCTTTTTCAAAACAAAAAGAGGACAAATATATTCCAACTAATAAATGAACTTTAACCTTAAAAAATAAGGTTGATGGGAAATTTTCAATAAAAAAATGCTCAGATCCTTAAAGCAGTATTGATCTTAAAGTGTGCTTTTCTTTATATTACTTTGACAATATACAAATTTGTAAACTTTGGAAAGAAACTTTGTAATCTGATGGTAACAGTGACTGTATATGATACGTCTTGCTTTCATGACACCAACATTGATCCATGTACAAAATAAGTGGTGCCCAGGTTTTGATAAATATTGTTGGGCTGATATGAATACAATAAAATATGGATTTTTTTCTTGTTTCATAGTAAAAATATAGAAAGTGGACTATGCACTGTGACAAAACCATTTCTAATGTCTTATCCTGCAACTGTACGTTCTTGATTGGTAACATACAAGAGTAATATAAATTTATCATTAATGGAGTGAACTTTGAAAATCTATCTTATTTTGGGGATATTTTGGAGCCTAACTTCAGTCCCATTTCCAAAAGTTTGATTTTTTCCCAAAATCTCTTCACACTAAATATTGTTTTTACCTTAGTTATGTATTCAGATGAATTGCAAAATTAAACATCTAAATGAAATAAAAGGATGCCATAGTCCTTAGGTAATAGATAGGCTTTGTAAATAAATCAATTTCAGCGTAATTTGGAATTCAGAAAATTTCCAATATGATTTGCTGTGACACAATTTTCCCAATTACAAAGCCACAGGCTCCATTCCCAAACTAGCCAAAAGAACCCACCCTGAGTTATCTTAGCATGATCATTGTATAATACAGAGGTCACCTAAAGACGTTCATCCACACGGTACACCTACTGCAGTCGCTGTCTGACCTTGATAGTTTACCTGTTGTGGACATCCTCACACGACTGCTGGAGACGGAGGGCGGCCAGACACAGCCCACAGCCCTACTGGGCACTAAACATGTCCTGTGTTGGGGCTTTGAGGACTTACTGGGAGGGACTGAAAAGGAGGCAACCAATGGCAATAAGGATAGCAAAGGTCAGTCAGTATCAGCACATACATGATGGATCTGAACTTAGTTAATTGGAGGTGACAGGATATATATCAGTTAAATGAGTGATTGATCAGTCAATGTGTGTGGGGGGGGGGGGGGGGGGGGGGGGGATGCATGTCTTGCAGTACATTTTTTGGTTTTATTTACTTGAGAATGTACTTTGACCTGCCATCACTTTCTCTCTTTAGTTTCCAGACTAACCAATTAGTTTGGAACATGGATATTTTCATTATTTTACTAAATGTATTGTTTTATTCTGTTCAATTGGACTCCAAATATGATACAGAGACCTGTATATGTTACTGTTGTTGTTTGAAACTAGTTGAATTCTTGTACCTTTCAGATGTGTCCCTAATTAACCATGTCCACTTTACCATATGCATGGACAAAAGACTTTTTATAATTTATAAAACTTTATTTTTTCCCTGTTTACAGACAGTGATGTAGGGCGCAGTATCACTTGTGATGGAGCGTTTCTCTACACAACTAACTCACAGGGCAAAGGCTTGGCTAAGATGGGCACAGGACTGCATGGCTCTCTCAGGTACCTAGGAGTATTCCAGCAATGAGCTGTGTCCGATAAAAGACCTTTTGATTTTAACTTAATTCAGAGATAAGGTATTGATAACTCAATGGTATAAACAATCTGTGCAGATATAAATGTTTAATTTGTATTAGTTTATTACAATATTATGTGGGACTGAAAAACAGATAATTATACATGTTGAGAGTAAATAGATCTTTTTTTTTTTACTGTTTCCTTTATGAGATGCATTAGTATCACAAAATATTTTGCTTTTTCTCAAAAATCCTTATGTTAATTTATTATCAATATTAATGATAGATATTTAGAACTGTATTATATACCACTGTTTTCTATTTGTAGGGGCTACATGTATGGTAGAACTGTATTATATACCACTGTTTTCTATTTGTAGGGGCTACGTGTATGGTAGAAATGTTGACTTAGGCCCAGGAAAAGCCGCCTTTGGTAACGGTACACTACTCTACAGACCACAGTCTTTTGACCAGGAAGCAAATCTCACAAATATGTGTCAGCTAATAGACATCAACTCCTTACAGGTAACCTTAATCTTACTCGTTACCATCTTACAGTGAGAATCTAAGTAATAATACATTGCATAGTGTACTGGTATACTAGCCTTGTCTTACTCGATAATACCTTACTGGTAAACTAGCTTTGTCTTACTCGTCAAACGTTACAGGTAAACTAGCCTTAATCTTACTCGTTAACACCTTACTGGTAAACTAGCCTTGTCTTACTCGTTAATACCTTACTGGTAAACTAGCCTTGTCTTACTCGTTAATACCTTACTGGTAAACTAGCCTTGTCTTACTCGTTAACACCTTACTGGTAAACTAGCCTTGTCTTACTCGTTAACACCTTACTGGTAAACTAGCCTTGTCTTACTCGTTAATACCTTACTGGTAAACTAGCCTTGTCTTACTCGTTAATACCTTACTGGTAAACTAGCCTTGTCTTACTCGTTAACACCTTACTGGTAAACTAGCCTTGTCTTACTCGTTAATACCTTACTGGTAAACTAGCCTTGTCTTACTCGTTAATACCTTACTGGTAAACTAGCCTTGTCTTACTCGTTAACACCTTACTGGTAAACTAGCCTTGTCTTACTCGTTAATACCTTACTGGTAAACTAGCCTTGTCTTACTCGTTAATACCTTACTGGTAAACTAGCCTTGTCTTACTCGTTAATACCTTACTGGTAAACTAGCCTTGTCTTACTCGTTAATACCTTACTGGTAAACTAGCCTTGTCTTACTCGTTAACACCTTACTGGTAAACTAGCCTTGTCTTACTCGTTAATACCTTACTGGTAAACTAGCCTTGTCTTACTCGTTAATACCTTACTGGTAAACTAGCCTTGTCTTACTCGTTAACACCTTACTGGTAAACTAGTCTTGTCTTACTCGTTAATACCTTACTGGTAAACTAGCCTTGTCTTACTCGTTAACACCTTACTGGTAAACTAGCCTTGTCTTACTCGTCAAAACGTTACAGGTAAACTAGCCTTGTCTTACTCATCAAAACATTACAGGTAAACAAGCCTTGTCTTATTCGTCAAAACGTTACAGGTAAACTAGCCTTGTCTTACTCGTCAAAACGTTACAGACAAACTAACCTCTTCTTACTCGTTAACACCTTACTTGTAAACACCTTACTGGTAAACTAACCTTGTCTTACTCGTCAAAACGTTACAGGTAAACTAGCCTTGTCTTACTTGTTAACACTTTACTGGTAAACTAGCCTTGTCTCACTCGTCAAAACGTTACAGGTAAACTAGCCTTGTCTTATTCCTCAAAACGTTACAGGTAAACTAGCCTTGTCTTACGTTACAGGTAAACTAGCCTTGTCTTACTCACTAACACCTTACTGGTAAACTAGCCTTGTCTTGCTTGTCAAAACGTTACAGATAAACTAGCCTTGTCTTACTCGTCAAAACGTTACAGATAAACTAGCCTTCTCTTACTCGTCAAAACGTTACAGGTAAACTAGCCTTGTCTTACGTTACAGGTAAACTAGCCTTGTCTTACTCATCAAACGTTACAGGTAAACTAGCCTTGTCTTACTCATCAAAACGTTACAGGTAAACTAGCCTTGTCTTATTCCTCAAAACGTTACAGGTAAACTAGCCTTGTCTTATTCCTCAAAACGTTACAGGTAAACTAGCCTTGTCTTACGTTACAGGTAAACTAGCCTTGTCTTACTCGTCAAACGTTCCAGGTAAACTAGCCTTAATCTTACTCGTTACCATCTTACAGATAAACTAACCTCTTTTTACTCATTGACACCTTACTGGTAAACTAGCCTTGTCTTACTTGTCAAAACGTTACAGATAAACTAGCCGTGTCTAACTCGTTAACACCTTACTGGTAAACTAGCCTTGTCTTACTCATCAAAACGTTACAGGTAAACTAGCCTTGTCTTACGTTACAGGTAAACTAGCCTTGTCTTACTCATTAACACCTTACTGGTCAACTAGCCTTGTCTTACTCGTCAAAACGTTACAGATAAACTAGCCTTGTCTTACTCGTTAACACCTTACTGGTAAACTAGCATTGTCTTACTCGTCAAAACGTTACAGGTAAACTATCCTTGTCTTACTTGTTAACACTTTACTGGTAAACTAGCCTTGTCTTACTCGTCAAAACTTTACAGGTAAACTAGCCTTGTCTTACTCATTAACACCTTACTGGTAATCTAGCCTTGTCTTACTCGTCAAAACGTTACAGGAAAACTAGCCTTGTCTTACTCATCAAAACGTTACAGGTAAACTAGCCTTGTCTTACTCACTAACCCCTTACTGGTAAACTAGCCTTGTCTTACTCGTTAATACCTTACTGGTAAACTAGCCTTGTCTTACTCATCAAAACGTTACAGGTAAACTAGCCTTGTCTTATTCCTCAAAACGTTACAGGTAAACTAGCCTTGTCTTATTCGTCAAAACGTTACAGGTAAACTAGCCTTGTATTACTTGTTAACACTTTACTGGTAAACTAGCCTTGTCTTACTCGTCCAAACGTTACAGGTAAACTAGCCTTGTCTTACTCGTTAACACCGTTAACACCTTACTTGTAAACACCTTACTGGTAAACTAACCTTGTCTTCCTCGTCAAAACGTTACAGGTAAACTAGCCTTGTATTACTTGTTAACACTTTACTGGTAAACTAGCCTTGTCTTACTCGTCCAAACGTTACAGGTAAACTAGCCTTGTCTTACTTGTTAACACTTTACTGGTAAACTAGCCTTGTCTTACTCGTCAAAACTTTACAGGTAAACTAGCCTTGTCTTACTTGTTAACACTTTACTGGTAAACTAGCCTTGTCTTACTCGTCAAAACTTTACAGGTAAACTAGCCTTGTCTTACTCATTAACACCTTACTGGTAATCTAGCCTTGTCTTACTCGTCAAAACGTTACAGATAAACTAGCCTTCTCTTACTCGTCAAAACGTTACAGGTAAACTAGCCTTGTCTTACTTGTTAACACTTTACTGGTAAACTAGCCTTGTCTTACTCGTCAAAACGTTACAGGTAAACTAGCCTTGTCTTACTCACTAACACCTTACTGGTAAACTAGCCTTGTCTTACTCGTCAAATGTTACAGGTAAACTAGCCTTAATCTTACTCGTTACCATCTTACAGATAAACTAACTTTTCTTACTCGTTAACACCTTACTTGTAAACTAACCTTGTCTTACTCGTCAACACCTTACTGGTTAACTAGCCTTGTCTTACTCGTTAACACCTTACTGGTAAACTATCCTTGTCTTACTCGTTAACACCTTACTGGTAAACTAGCCTTGTCTTACTGGTTAAAACGTTACTGGTAAACTAGCCTTGTCTTACTCGTCAAAACGTTACAGGTAAACTAGCCTTGTCTTACTCGTTAACACCTTACTGGTAAACTATCCTTGTCTTACTGGTTAACACCTTACTGATAAACTAGCCTTGTCTTACTCGTCAAAACGTTACAGGTAAACTAGCCTTGTCTTACTCATTAACACCTTACTGGTAAACTAGCCCTGTCTTACTCGTTAACACCTTACTGGTAAACTAGCCTGGTCTTACTCGTCAAAACGTTACAGGTAAACTAGCTTTGTCTTACTCGTTAACACCTTACTGGTAAACTATCCTTGTCTTACTGGTTAACACCTTACTGACAAACTAGCCTTGTCTTACTCGTCAAAACGTTACAGATAAACTAGCCTTGTCTTACTCGTTAACATCTTACTGGTAAACTAGCCTTGTCTTACTCGTCTAAACGTTACAGATAAACTAGCCTTGTCTTACTCGTTAACATCTTACTGGTAAACTAGCCTTGTCTTACTCGTCAAAACGATAAAGGTAAACTAGCCTTGGCTGACTCATCAACACCTTACTGGTAAACTAGCCTTGTCTAACTCGTTACCATCTTACTGGTAACCTAGCCTTGTCTTACCAGTCAAACCGTTACAGGTAAACTAGCCTTGTCTTACTCATTAACACCTTACTGGTAAAATAGCCTTGTCTTACTCGTTAACACCTTACTGATAAACTAGCCTTGTCTTACTCGCCAAAACGTTACAGATAAACTAGCCTTGTCTTACTCGTTAACATCTTACTGGTAAACTAGCCTTGTCTTACTCGTCAAAATGTTACAGGTAAACTAGCCTTGTCTTACTCATTAACACCTTACTGGTAAACTAGCCCTGTCTTACTCGTTAACACCTTACTGGTAAACTATCCTTGTCTTACTCGTTAACACCTTACTGGTAAACTATCCTTGTCTTACTGGTTAACACCTTACTGATAAACTAGCCTTGACTTACTCGTCAAAACGTTACAGGTAAACTAGCCTTGTCTTACTCGTCAAAATGTTACAGATAAACTAACCTAATCTTACTCGCTAACACCTTACTGGTAAACTAGCCTTGTCTTACTCATCAAAACGTTACAGGTAAACTAGCCTTGTCTTACTCGTCAAACATTACAGGTACACTAACCTAATCTTACTCATTAACAATTTACAGGTAAAATAACCTCATCCTATATACTGGCTAACAACCTACAGGTAAACTAGCCTGATCTTACTCATTAACAATTTACAGGTAAAATAGCCTCATCTTACTGGCTAACAAAAATTGCAACTTATAGGTAAGCTAACCTGTCCTACTTATTAACACCTTACAGGTAGAATTACACGTTGAGAGTTGATGTATTTTCATACTATCAATTATTGTACCCTTTTCAGTTCATCAGAAAGAATGATATTAGTTCATTTTGTTTTAAAATTTCTTTATTTTTTTATTTATTTTTTCAAAATTGTTATGTTGCATGTTTTATATTACCTACCAAAGAAATATAATGTAACATGTAAGACATAGTTCACATACATTTATGTAAGATGTTTTGAATTAATAAATTTTTCTTTTTGACAGTTGAAAAGTGTATTTATTTTGTGATAAATTTTACTTCTATAATTATATGTGTTATGTTAACTAGTGTGTGAAGACGATACCCAAACCTGAGGAGTACCTCCATGAGGGACCTCAGACCACCATAGCTTTCTGTAGTGATGCCACCTACTTCTACTGGCTGTGGTGTCCTGGTCTCGCCTCTGACAAAAGTGTGAAGGGACTGAACGTGTACCTAGATGTCTTCTCACACGAGGTTTGTATTCTTCATCTCATACTCATAGTAGTGTACACACAAAAAAAGTTTTTTTTTTTTTAAGTTACTACTACACCTTATCTTATTTGTTTTTTTAATATTTAATCATTTTTGTAAAATATGATATTTCATGGCAGATATATCAATGAACCCTTCTGCTGTGCTGTCAGTTAATATAATATAATTTTCCACATATTTGTTATGAAATATCACTATAATTTTTCAACATTTGCATTCATTTGTGAAAGTCACTAACATTTAATTCACGTTTGTGTTTGTCTTTAGTCGGAGGACAATAGTATCAAACCACTACAAGCCCGTGTGATTCTACAAAAGAAGGACGAATCCAGTGCCAAATCCATCAACGAGACACTGCTCTCCCGATTACGTCCCTTTAGAGGGAACTCTTCAGCTGCCACTCTCGTAGCATTAACAGGAGGGGATGCCACACCTGGAAGAAAAGATGACGGTAAGTGTCATAGATTTTAAATGTAATGAATTACAAACTGAATCTGGTTCTAAGCAGTGTTGTAAGCTGTAATATATTTTACTAAGAAACAGTAAGTTTACAAACATGCTCAAAGTGTTGCCTAGAAACAGTATAATGCTACTGAATATGGAAGAAAGAAATTTTGAATATTTGAAATTTGAATTGAAATTATTTCTTTAAAGTTGTATGTCATATCTACAGTGAAATGTCCAACATTTGTACTGTTTGTGTATGTAGCCACACTGATGGTGGGGAGCACCTCGTGTGGTGTCTCTATGAAGAGTCTGGTGAAGGCCCCAGTCTACTGTGATGGGAGTACCTTGGTAGTACTCACACCTATGTCTGGAGCAGGGAGTAACAGCTCCGCCTCCCGGTCACTGTTTGGCACCGGAGGCAATCTCTCAGGTTTCAGATGTAAGTATTTACTAGTGTTCCTTTTATCTCTGAATTTTGATGTCATTTTCACATTTTAAATGTAAAATTATAAAATTTGAGTTAATATGTTGTGTTGTAAATGTATTTCTTTTTCTATTTGATGATAATAAAATGACAAAAACACATTGTAATCATTGTCAGGCATGAAATGGTGTTCAGTCTAAAATATATTGACTTCGATCATGGTCTGTTGTGTATGTCTGTCCCCTTATCATAATCCCTAGGATCTGACAGATGATTATATATATGTGACCTATTGTTTAAAATAGAACTATTGTGTCCTTATATTGCAGTGTTGGCAAGTAACATGTGTTTCAATGTGAAGGACGGCCAGTTTAACACCAGGATAGACCTGACTGATGCCCCTACCTGCTCCCTTGGGAGAGGTGCACCCCTAGCTGGGCTTGGTAAGTCACCACTGTTGTCATGGTAGATGGGTTCTGTTCCAAATGTGTTTGTTTTTTTCGTAAAGAAATATTTATTAGGTTAATTAATTTTAAAAAGGCAACAAATTGACCCCAGAAATATTTTAGAATAAAATTAAAAATGTCCTCTTGGTAACCATCAGTGTTTTCATATCGCTAGACAGATGTTTTTGACATTTCTCTGTATGTATGGCAATTACTTAGAAGGCGTTGTCAAAACTGTTCTTTTTATCTGCCCTATGGTGAGCACAGTGTCCATCTGTCTGTCCGTCCATACTTAACAAAGATAATCAATGAACAATAAAGTAAAATAGGAGATTGGAATCAGCATTTACATGTGATGACTTTGGAACACAATGTAGGGAGATTTGTGTTTTAAAGTAAGGAGAAAAGATTTTAAGTGGGGAGATTTCTTTATGGCATCATAGCGTAATGTTGTTTCTTTGATAATTGTCCAACTTTACCCTATTTGAAGAGAAAAGAACACCATACACGTTTTCAAATCCTCTATTTAACAATTGAAAACTTAGCAAAACAATGGATAATGGAAATGTATTATGATAGTAGATCAATGTTTGGAGACTTCCATGTCAAAATGGGAGAAACGGAAAAAACGGGAGATGGCTATTTTGATGCTTGAAACCTGGAGACTCCAGTCATATTTGGAGACATAACATGTTTGTATTTAATAGCTGAATAGTTAAACTGTTATCTCTGTAGGCTACAGTAGCTCTGTGATTTTTTTCAGGCGTCTGTTTTGATTTGACTAATAACTCTATCTGGATGTCAAGTAATGATTGGGTCGACCAATTCTACAACCATGGTCACCAGGCACCTCACCACATCAACCGCCGTCTCAAAATATCACCCGCTGGTCCCCTCCAGTCGGATGGTAAGTTTCCTCCCCTTTACCACATCAACCGTCGTCTCAAAATCTCCCCCGCTTGTCCCCTTCAGTCGGATGGTTAGTTACCCCCCGCCTTTACCACATCAACTGTCATCTCAAAATCTCACTCGCTTGTCCCCTCCAGTCAGATGGTAAGTTACCTCGCCTTTACCACATCAACTGTCGTCTCAAAATCTCACCCGCTTGTCCCCTTCAGTCGGATGGTTAGTTACCCCCCGCCTTTACCACATCAACTGTCGTCTCAAAATCTCACTCGCTTGTCCCCTTCAGTCGGATGGTTAGTTACCTCCCCTTTACCACATTAACCGACGTCTCAAACCTCACCTGCTGGTCCCCTCCAGTCGGATGGTAAGTTACCCCGCCTTTACCGCATCAACCGACATCTCAAAATGTCACCCGCTGGTCCCCTCCAGTCAGATAGTAATTTACCTCCCCCTAACCACATCACCCTAAGTCTCAAAATATTACCAGCAGGTCCCTCCAGTTTGAGGCCCTCAAATCTGACTATATCATCTGATGTCTCCCCCTATAACCACATAAACGGATGTCTCAAAATGGCATCCTGTTCCCTTCCAGCAGGACAAGAATTCCCCTCCCCTCACCTTATGATATAACCTTAAAATATTGGAAAAGTAGAAAGAGAAATGCACGACCAGACCAGGATTTGAACCTGGAATCATTTGAACTCCAGAAAGAGGCTCTACCAATTGAGCTACCTGGTCACCAGCGATCAACCCAGTCCAATTCCACTACATTATATCCCTTTCCCATCAAGTGTGATAGCATGTCACCAGGCTCCCTACCATCAGACAATCAGACATTAGAAAGAAATTGAACAAAATTAAAGGAAAAAACTAATTTTTTGTACATGTTTATGATTAAGAAACCCAGTTTATTTGAAATGAAAACTTTACAGACCAGTCCCTGTATCTGTGCCCGGTATTGTATACTTGTGTGTTTGCCCTCACAGGAAACAACATAGAGACGGAGGTGGTGATCAAACACATCCTTCACCACGTCGGGAATATGTGTCTCCACCAGATAAACAACGACCTGCTACACACGCCCCTCGGCTCGTACATCCTCCAGCAGCACCCCGCAGATCTTACACACATGACACGTATCTGTCACATCCTACAGCGTTCCATAGAGAGAAAGGACAGCCAGGTCGTCATCTGTACACTCATCATCCTACAGGTACATATTGTAGTAAGGTCGTCATCTGTACACTCATCATCTTACAGACTGTAGCCTAAGCACCCTATTACAGGTCAATCCTATAGATTAACATGTTGACTCTTTCCATATCGCAACTCAAGACCTGATTCCGTACCGGTTGTCCTTACTAAAATCAAAAACAATAGGTCACATGATAAAAAGTGTGTACTCTGCACCTATAAAAATATTTCTTTCCAACTGATGGGTGCTGATTTTAGTGATTTTTATTGGATTAGTAAATAAACGTGACTGTCATGTGCTATTACAAGCTAATCATAAGACAATGACAACGGTAGGGAAAGAGTAAATAGAAAAATGAATTCAACTTTTATATTGGTATGTTAGATATCTTGAACGTTTAATTCTAATTAAAATTTCTGAAGTGAAACTTTATTTATGATGTTATTTTGTTCCAGTTAATATTTAAGATCAGCATGTTTAAGAGGGAGAGAGAAGGAGAGGTCCAGCTGTTACAGAAAGCCAGGTATGAAAATAAAGTCCTCTTATCTTATTATGTGGTTAGAAAATGAGCGCACATTGACATATTGTATATGATGTTAAGCTCTCCTGGTCCACAGAACTAGTGAGCTTATGCCATGGTGCAGCATTTGTCGCTTGTCTTAACTCATTTAACAAAATTCAGCGTTTGATATAATTAGACGGAGGAAAGTAAATGATATATGAATAAAGACTGTGACCTCCTAATGGTTGAGGGGCATTGCCAAAAATAGGACAAAATTAGGCGTCTTTAAACACCTACTCCTTACAAACTGCATGGTTTGTTGCCATATTTAGTCTGAAACCTCACCAGGGCCAGAGGGATGGGGCCTAAAATGGTCCCCATATAGGGCAAAGTTATGCAATTTTATATTCATGTGGATACAACACTCTGTTTCAGTTCCCTGGTATGGCACCTGTTGACAGACTACCCACAGTTATGTCCGGATGACCCGAGACTGACCGCTGTCCAGAATGAGGCGTGTCAGGTGTTAACATCAGGGTTACATGTCCTCTACCCGGAACCTGATGATAAAAACAAACTCCTGTTTCAGCTCCTGTCTGATGGTCAGTATTGCTGTTCATTGTTTGAAGTATTATATTATATAAGATAAGGTAATAAATATGTCAGGATGAACTTATTTCAACATTCAGGACTGCTATGACTATCAGGGTAACTTAATTTTCCAGACATTACATAATGCACCTTAAGTAAAACAGAATCTCACTGCAGTACAGATGTTAGTGAATTATGATTAACACTGAAATATGGAGTTATATACAAAATTGTAGAACAATTGAATATGGAATATTTTTGTGTAAAGTTTAATCTGACTTAAGGCTACAAAAAAACATCTACATTATATGATTGTACAGGCGGTCAGAATCCATCACTAGAAAAGCTGAGAAACATGATCCTGATCGACCTGTCAGAGAAGCTTCGTGCCCAGTCTCTGTCTCGAGACGAGATGAAATATGCCCGGCTAAAAGATGACCTTGTCAATTACATCCTAAAGACAGCGGTCAAGGAGTCATGTTTGCTACTGCAGGAGTCTCTGACCCTGGACAAGGCCCAGTTTGAAATCCTCCAGGCCTCGGTTCCGGTAAGGCCTCATGTCATCAACACATGTTATTGCTTTTGCTCCTTGTGTTTGTTTGCAGTGATCATATGACATAAACGAGAGAAGATCAATTGGCATTAATTTATGAGCCAAGAATGGTAATAGTGTGGCGCTCTATGAGACTAGAATGGTAATAATGTGGCCCTCTATGAGACTAGAATGGTAATGGTGTGGCCCTCTATGAGCCAAGAATGGTAATAGTGTGGCCCTCTATGGGACTAGAATGGTAATAGTGTGGCCCTCTATGAGACTAGAATGGTAATAGATTGGCCCTCTATGAGACTAGAATGGTAATAGTGGGGCCCTCTATGAGACTAGAATGGTAATAGTGTGGCCCTTTATGAGACTAGAATGGTAATAGTGTGGCCCTCTATGAGCCAAGAATGGTAATACTGTGGCCCTTTATGGGACTAGAATGGTAATAGTGTGGCCCTCTATGACACAAGAATGGTAATAGTGTGGCCCTCTATGAGACTAGAATGGTAATAGTGTGGCCCTCTATGAGACAAGAATGGTAATAGTGTGGCCCTCTATGAGACAAGAATGGTAATAGTGTGGCGCTCTATGAGACTAGAATGGTAATTGTGTGGCCCTCTATGAGACTAGAATGGTAATAGTGTGGCCCTCTATGAGACTAGAATGGTAATAGTGTGACCCTCTATGAGCCAAGAATGGTAATAGCGTGGCCCTCTATGAGACTAGAATGGTAATAGTTTGGCCCTCTATGAGACTAGAATGGTAATAGTGCGGCCCTCTATGAGACTAGAATGGTAATAGTGTGGCCCTCTATGAGATTAGAATGGTAATAGTGTGGCCCTCTATGGGACTAGAATGGTAATAGTGTGGCCCTCTATGAGCCAAGAATGGTAATAGTGCGGCCCTCTATGAGACTAGAATGGTAATAGTGTGGCCCTCTATGAGACTAGAATGGTAATGGTTTGGCCCTCTATGAGACTAGAATGGTAATAGTGTGGCCCTCTATGAGACTAGTTATGTCATAAGCAAGTTGTCAACCAACACCAAAGTTTAAGTAAGGTTTAGAAAAGAGAATGCTGTATCACATTGAATATAAAGTCACTTCTGTTTTAGATACAAGGAATTCATTGTAATTTGTCGCTGACAGTCTGTAGGAATGTTGGAGGTCGGTAAGGATTATAGGGGGCTGGCTCTCTGGCTGAGCCTGTTATAATAATTTATTGTCACCGACAGCCTGTAGGAATGTAGGAGGTCAGTAAGGATTATAGTGGGCTGGCTCTCTGGCTGAGCCTGTTATAATAATTTATTGTCACCGACAGCCTGTAGGAATTTAGGAGGTCGGTAAGGATTATAGGGGGCTAGGCTCTCTGGCTGAGCCTGTTATGATAATTTATTGTCACCGACAGCCTATAGGAATGTAGGAGGTTGGTAAGGATTATAGGGGGCTGGCTCTCTGGCTGAGCCTGTTATAATAATTTATTGCCACCGACAGCCTGTAGGAATGTAGGAGGGGTCGGGAAGGATTATAGGGGGCTAGGCTCTCTGGCTGAGCCTGTTATAATTATTTATTGTCACCGACAGCCTGTAGGAATGTAGGAGGGGGCGGTAAGGATTATAGGGGGCTAGGCTCTCTGGATGAGCCTGTTATAATAATTTATTGTCACCGACAGCCTGTAGGAATGTAGGAGGTCGGTAAGGATTATAGGGGACTGGCTCTCTGGCTGAGCCTGTTATAATAATTTATTGTCACCGACAGCGTATAGGAATGTAGATCAGTAAGGATTATAGGGGGCTGGGCTCTCTGGCTGCATCTGGTATAATTGTAACTGACTTCCCGTGATCTTTCAGTGGTTCAATAACAAACTACATGACTAATAACTAGCACAGACTTCTGGTTTTACTTTAAACAACTTTTTCTTAATAACCAAGAGGCCCAGGCTGATGATATTTGGCCAGTAGCATGCTGGGATGAATGGCTACGAAGTTCGTTCAAATGAATGACCTTGACCAACTTTCAAGGCCACATGGCCAAATGTCGTAAAATCTTCAAACGACTTCTTCTCATTAACCAAAAGGCCCAGGGTACTAAAATTTGGCCTGTAGCATGCTGGAATGAATGACCTTGACCCACTTTCAACCTAATGTCCCTGTTCGACATTCAAGGTCACAGGCATGATATGTTTAAATCTTTTAATAGGTTCTTATGAATCAAACACTGATATTCTGCCTGTAGCTGTATTTTAGTCCACTTTTAAGATCATAAGAGTGAGAATAATACCAGGTGAGTGATGCAGGCCCATTGGGCCTCTTGTTCCCATTGGTATCACACGGGACAGTTTTTGAGTACTATTGAGTTTTTAGGTTTCTTCAATGTTAATCATTTTTAGCTCACCTGACCTGAAGGGCCAAGTGAGCTTATGCCGTACTGCGTCGTCCGTCTGTCAACTTTTTCTTTTAAACAACTTTTTCAGAAGAACTGGAGGACTTAGGGTCATGATATTTGGCCAGTAGGTACCTGGGATGAAGTACTATAAAGCTTCCTCATTAAAATGACCTTGACCTACTTTCAAGGTCATGGGGGTCAAATATGTTCAAAAATTCAAACAACAATATCTTAAGAACCATTTGGACTAGAGTCATGATACTTGGGTATGTTTTGAAGACCAGCAGTGTGAATCTTTTTTTTTTTTTACAGTAATGAGGTCAAAGGTCAACTTTAGATGCTAGTCAGGGGTCAAATGTCAACATGGGTTAAAAGCTTTAACAATCTTCTTCTAAAGTTCCATAAGGCCCAGGGTCATGATATTTGGCCAGTAGGTACCTGGGAAAGAGCGCTATAAAATTTCCTCATTAAAATGACCTTTACCTACTTTCAAGGTCACAGGGGTCAAATAAGTTCAAAAATTCAAACAACAATATCCTAAGAACCATTTGGACTAGTCTAATCGCTTTCTGTCCGTAATCGTGCGTCGTGAGTAAACCTTTTACATTTTCAACTTCTTCTCAAGAATCAGTTGATGGATTTTTTTCAAACTTGGTCAGAATCATCCTTGGTAGATGAGGCTACAAAATTGTAAAATTGGGATTCCTACCCCAACTCCTGGGGCCAGGACGGGGCCCCAAAGGGAAAGTTAACCAATATTTCAAAAATCTTCTTCTCCCGTCTCGGACGTACTACAGTCATTTTCTCTACATGGAAAGAAAGATCATCAGGAGCTTTATTTAAATTGTAAATTTCAGGACCCCCGAGCTATTCGTTCTCCCTTGGGGAGGGGGTAAAGTTTACTATAGTTTATATTGGGAAACAACACTTTTGGTCATAATTTGACAACTGTCTATAGGAAATTATTTTTACTTAATGAGAATTATCCTTGGAGGAAGATGGTTTCAAATTGTAAAATTGAGATTCCTACCCCAACCCTGGGGCCAGGGCAGGGCCCAAAAGGGAAAGTTAACCAATATTTCAAAAATCTTCTTCTCCAGACACAGAGGTAATACAGTCATTTTCTCTGCATGGAAAAAAATATTATCAGGGACTTTATTTAAATTGTAAATTTCAGGACTCCCAAGCTATCCGTTCTCCCTTGGGGAGGGGGTAAAGTTTACTATAGTTTATATAGGGAAATAACACTTTTGGGTATATTTTATCCATTTTCAGCAGAAAATTACTCAAACTTAGTCAGAATCATCTTTGGTGAATGAAGGTATTACATTGTAAAATTGGGATTCCTGCCCCATCCCTAGGGGCTAGGGCGGGGCCCCAAAGAGAACATTTACCAATATTTTCAAATTCTTATCCTTTGATGACATGACAAGTATTGTATTTCACTTAGTTTACATGCTGATTTCCACATCACATCTAAACAATAAAATAAAGCTACCAGTACCTATGATTTAACTCAGGTGACCGCTAATTAAGGCCCATGGGCCTCTTGTTTAATTACAGCAATGAGGTCAAATGTCAACTTTAAGTACTAGTCGGGGGTCAAATGTCAATGTGGGTTAAAAGCTTTAAGATTACAATTTCAAATTTCAATCAACAATATCTTGAGAAGCGTTTAAGTGATGTTAAAATGTCTTGTTTTCTAGTTACTAAATTTGATCTGAAGTTACCTATATGTCAGTTTCATGTAACAAAAGAAACAGGTGAGCGATACAGGCCCTCTGGGCCTCTTGTATAATATTCTCCCTCATTTGTCACATTACTTTTGACACACAAATAAGATCACAGCAAATAGTTTGAAGAATATGTTTAATTTTCTGATTGTCGTGTGTTTCAGCATGCATCATCCTGTCTGCGTTTTATGATGGCTCTACAGTCACATCTTCTGAGGGAAGTGGTTCTCCTGAAATCTTCTGATAATGGAGATGACAGTCAGGCAAAGAACGAGACAGAACTCCAGGTATGTATCCCTAGATGATCTGTTTCCTTGTTGATGGTATTGTTGAAGTGTATGGATGTTGAAAATGTAGAGGAAAATGAAAGTAATTTGAAAACGAGATGTGAAATGATGGTCTAATTGTTTGTTATTTTTTTCATTTTGTCTAATTGTTTGTAATTATTTCCGTTTTTAAGGAGTTGAAGATGATGATAATAACTCTGGCATCTAACATCTTTGATGGATCATGTCAGGTAAGTTTTATGTTTTTAAGGATGAGCAAATGGCTGAACTTATTCCAGACATGAGTTGGTTTTACAAAGATCACTTTTCCTAGATCTGAGTTTGAAGATCAATGTGACACTAACTTATAGGCCTACCTGGATGTTGTTATCTTACCTTTAACTTAGATATCTTGTCCTTATATTTTACTATACATGTGTCTTTATTTCTACCTGTCCTACTTTTACCTGTGACAGGTGTTGGAGGTGCTGCTTGACACCTGTAATTCCATCATTACCCAGTACAAGGATGACCTGGAGTGTCGACTCCAGGGACTGGAACGCATCTCCAAGGCGACCATCCTCGGCCACCTGCTGCCTGTCCTGTTGACCACGATGACCCACGCCAACCTACGCTGGCTGTCTCTAGCTGACACACTCATGCCTAAACTTGTCCACCTGGTCGTACTGACCAGCCAGGTAAATATATCAGAAACAAAATTCTGTATGTTCACCTGGTAGTATTGATAAGCCAGTAAATACTTCAGATCAGTAAATTTAGTGTGTTACCTGGTCGTATTGACCAGCCAGGTAAATGTATCAGATCAGTAAATTTAGTGTGTTACTTGGTCGTACTGACCAGCCAGGTAAATGTATCGGGAACGAAATTCAGTATGTTCACATGGTCATAGTCATCAGCCAGGTAATTACTTCAGGTCAACTAATTTAGTGTGTTTACCTGTTTGTATTGGATGGCCAGAATTCTTTACCAAAATGAAGTTAGCTTTTGGTGGTAATCATTCGCATGTTTTAATAAATGAGATACAGGGAGTTAGGAAGAGATACTGGGAGTTAGGAAGAGATACAGGGAGTTAGGAGGAGATACAGGGAGTTAGGAAAATGTGTGTGAGCCCAAAGGAAAAGCATGAGTCTAGGACTACAGCAATCAGAGATTAGGCATGAATAGCTATATGTTATGTAAAGATTATCTGAATAACTGTCTTTCTGTACCAAGGCGGCCCTACTGCTGAAAAGTCAGGTCCAGGCGGTTATACAGGAGGAGATGGATATGGAGTCTGACATGGAATTCATCGATCTGATTGGTCAGACTATCAACATCACAGTGTAAGTCATTCTGATTGGTCAGACTGTCAACATCACAGTGTAAGTCATTCTGATTGGTCAGACTGTCAACATCACAGTGTAAGTCATTCTGATTGCATTTGGTCAGACTATCAACATCACAGTGTAAGTCATTCTGATTGGTCAGACTATCAACATCACAGTGTAGATCTTGAGTGTTCAAATTGTCAGCAACAGTTATAGAACTGATTGATCAAACCACCACCATCATCAACCGTCCAAATGGCGATGGGACATGAACTTATGAAGCAAATCTGTAATGGAATATGCTTTCTTTTGTTTGTAAAAAAAATAAATCAAATATCTTTTGTGAAACATGTATGAAAATTTATTTGTGTTCAGTTTTATATAAAACCAAGTGAACGTTTAAATGATGTCCTATAATGTGTACACAGGAATGAGTTGTGTCCTATAATGTGTACATAGGAATGAATTGTGTACACATTATAGGACACAACTCATTCCTGGGACACAACTCATTCCTGGGACACAACTCATTCCTATGTATACATTATAGGTCACAACTCATTCCTATGTATACATTCTAGGACACAACTCATTCATATGTATACATTATAGGTCACAACTCATTCCTATGTATACATTCTAGGACACAACTCATTCTTATGTACACATTATAGGACACAAGAATGAGTTGTGTCCTAGAATGTATACATAGGAATGAGTTGTATTGTGTACACAGGAATGAGTTGTGTCCTATAATGTGTACATAGGAATGAATTGTGTCCTATAATGTATACATAGGAATGAGTTGTGTCCTATAATGTGTACACAGGAATGAGTTGTGTCCTATAATGTGTACACAAGAATGAGTTGTGTCCTATAATGTGTACACAGGAATGAGTTGTGAACATTTAAATGATGTCCTATAATGTGTACACAGGAATCATTTGTGTCCTATATTGTGTACACAGGAATGAGTTGTGTCCTATAATGTGTACA